CCTTTGGGGAAAGCTGGAAGGTATTGTTAAAACTCTTACAATAAATACAAAATCTCTGTGTCAAAAAATCTCTGTAATCAGAATTCTATTCTTTTTTAAAGTTTATGGAATTATTTCATCTATTTGATCCATTGTCAAAGATCAAAAGAAATACAGCAATAGAATATAAGCTAATAAAACAAGATGAGAAATGAACATATTGAAACAGCAGAAGTTAATGACAAACATTATATTCTTCTACATGAAGCATAAAATCAATAGCAATTTAAATGGGAGAAAAATACATCAACTTTTGGTATTTTGTGAGGTGCTTAGCTAGCTTGACGCGGTGGCTGAGCTTGTCGATCAGAAAGGTCAGCAGTTCAAATCCATAGCGCCGCATAACAGAGTGAGCTCCAATTACTTGTCCCAGCTTCTGCCAACCTAGCAGTTCAAACGCATATAAAAATGCAAGTAGAAAAATAGGAACCATCTTTGGTGGGAAGGTAACAGCGTTCTGTGCGCCTTCGGCGTTATGCCAGCCACATGACTACAGAGGCGTCTCCAGACAGCATTGGCTGTTTGGCTTTGGAAAGGAGATGAGCACTGCCTTCTAGAGTCAGGAACGACTAGCACATATGTGTGAGAGGAACCCTTACGTAGCTATCTAGCACATAGCTACTTCCATAAATATATTTTAATTATCTCTCCATAAATTAAGACAAGAGAAGAAAATATGAGAGGGGGGAAATAGGTCCATGTTCTTTCAAGTGAACAATTGCTTTTGACAAAAGAGTTAAATGCTTCTTCTCCCAACATGTCAAAAGTGGTCACATGTGGCCACTTGAAGTAAAAAAAAAATCAGACATTTTCCATAAGCCACCAAAAATGTTATCTAAAGATTATCTTCTTCTAGACAATAATAAATGGTACCCACATTTGCTTGACTACGGAAAGAATTTTCTAAATTATTTTAATTTATAAATTTTCTTTTTTAATTTTTAAAGATTAAAGAAGTTGGCAAATATGTTTCTTTCTGATGTCTCATATATAATTTGAGGGTACTACCATTCTGCAGATTTTGCTGCATGTACTTGAAATAATAATAAAGCTTAGTCTATAATTTAGGGATGAAACTGATACAAGTGTTCGTTTTATTCAGTAACTTCCCAAAGTGGAAGAATTTTCCTCAGCTAAACACATTAAATGTGCATGTTCAAACATAATAATTTTCATGAACATTTCAACAACAGCATTTTCTGTAGGCAGCAGAGTGTTGATGCTTAGAACAATCCGCTCAAGGCTTCTTGCTTTCATTCTGAAACTCTAAGCTACATCTGACTATATTCTCCTGTTCTGGTATTGAAGGAAAAGCAGGTATAGAAGGCCAAAAGCAGGTGTAAAGCTCAGAAGCAGAGGACGCTGCTTGCAATTTCTCCTCTCCAAATGGATTCACTAGTCAAAATAGGTAAGGTGGCACTCTGTCTTTCATTCTTGGGAAAAATGGACTGAAGTGGGAAAAAGAGGGCATAATTAGAAATTGTTAAGCACTGCATTCTGCTGGTTTTCTATTCCAGCACTGAGTTTTCCTCTCTGAAATGTATATGTAAACATTTCATAATCTCTGTGAGTAGGTGAAAATCCAAGTATTAGCATGATGGATAACAAACTGTAGCAGGAGAACCAGCTAGAGGCACTGGCACAAAAGCGTATTTGAAACTTTTAAGCATCACAAACTGATGGAAAACATAATTACACTTCTTTCAAATCTTGTATAGCTTGACCTGTAAATTAACAGTGCAGTTGCCATGTTAATTAACTTATTTCTAGAGCACAGGTTTCAAATAAAACTTTCCCCATGTTCTGTTGAAACTGACAGTTTCAGTAGATAAATAGAATCATTAGGATCATTAGGATGGCGGGTAGAGAAAAGCAGTGAGATTTCATCAACAATTTTATGTCACATGGCCTGACTTATGCTTCCTAAACTTTGGATAGACTGGTGCTCTCTAGGTCAGTTTCAACCTTGACAAACTTAAGATGTGTGGACTTCAAATCCCAGATTTCCTGTTATATGTTATTGAACAAGGAGGGGAGGAAGCAGGATTTTATCCTTTTCCCGAAACAACAAAATATGTTGGGCTTATCCTTACTGTCATTCCAAATCAGAAGAAACTGGATGCTGAACTTAATCTGAGGCTACGGCTGACAAATGCTGTAACCCGCTTGAGAGAACATTGCTTCCAAAAAAGACATATCTAGTGTTCAGCAGAAAAAAATAAAGATTGAGAAATACTATACTGTTATACTAAAGCATGATTGAATTCAAATATTTTTAAAGATTATACTTAAACAAGGTATTTTAATACATGAGTATTATAGTCATAATCAAGCCCTAAAGACAATGTTTTGTTCACCAGATTACTGAATGCATGGTTCCTTTCTAGAGTTAATAACTCTAAATAGAAAGACAAATGTACATATTGTATGCAAATGTTGCCAAACCTCTCAGGTTTTTTTCACCTGCTCCAGGTTTTTCACTCAACACCATATTAATTTTGTTACTGTAGAAAGGCACAAATAAATGATAAAAATTTAAGAAAGCAATGAATTGAATGAAACAGCATTTGTAAATGGAATTATGTCTTTTAATTCTGCTGCAGTGTTTTTAGAAAAGGAAGGTACTTGTTTTAACAATACCACTAATTAACTTCCATCAAGGAGTTTGAACTGTCAGCCTACTATTCTTTAACAGAGTCTAACTGTGATATTCTAGTAAGTGCATTAACAGTTTATGATCTGTATATTGTAACCCATTTTTCAGATTCATAGGTTGCCAATACGTCAGAAGTACATGACTGATATAGTATTCAAGGATTATTATGTTCAGGATTCAATGAATCATTCAGCGGGGCATATGTGTGTAGAAAGAGATTAAGCAAAGATTCCTACTATGTATGTAATCCCAATAAAAGAGAATATATGTATTTCAGGGTTGAAGCTGTATGAATATAATTGTAACTATATGCATGTCATTATTAGAAAAAAATGTATTTAAAAGAGATCTGTCCATTTCAGCTATTTAAAAGGGAAAGCTCGTTCTTTCTTGTTTCTTCCTTGATAGTTTTTGTTTTCTCAAATTCAGAAATCAAGAAAGCTAAAGCAGGGCCCACATCTTTGTAAGAATTCCAGTAAACCTTCTGCAAAAATGTTTTGAACTGTCTTGGAGAAAATACAGACAGCCAAAACAGAGCCAGTTTTTCAAGTACTCCATTGGAGTATTTACAAGAACAAAATACCCTTTTTTTGGTGACCTTTCATTTTTCTCATTTTTAATTACAGGTTTCCTTATAAATGAAGAAACTATGCTTACAGAGTTGATAAAATTGTCACAAAACCTTAGAAAAAGTTGTGATGGCTAGATTTCATTTGCTGAAACAAAAGAATGAGCAATCATAGCAAAAGGGATTTGTTGCAAGATTCTGTTGACTTTCCTTAGCGTGACTTAGCTATTGTAATTTTTCTATGCACATTTGAAGCTTTTCTTGTACAAGAGAAGAACGTTTCAGCAGACTTTTGGAAGCAGGAAACTAGAGAAAAGGAAACATGGGAAAATAGTAGGACAAATAATTGCTAGTTGCAGCTGCAAATAGACACTTGCTTTAATGATACATTAGATGCATATGAATGTGCTTGTCCCCTTTTTTAGGCACCAGATGTTTGCATATTATACAAAGTGGAACAAGAGAAGAGGGCAGGGATGATTAGAAAGCAAAAGAAACTGGTAGGGGCAGCATCAGCATGCCTCTTTTGTCCTGTGGTAACATATAATGTTGAATTTCATTGCTATGGAGTGTATCACTTGAACACATAGATGGTTTACAAAACAGTATGATGAATGATATGAGTAAGCCAAAGCACACACCTAAGATACGTGCTAATTTATCTTGGGTGGTTTCTCCATTTTAATATGTGAAGAGGTTGCCTGCCCTAAATGTGCTTGCAGTTCTGCAGGTAGATAGTTTAGGGGTGATCTTGGTGTTACATCTCTGACCAAGAATAGAATAGGAATAGGAATTAAAGGAAAAGGAAAAGGAAGAAAAGAGAAGAGAATTCTTTATTGGCCAAGTGTGATTGGACACACAAGGAATTTGTCTCTGATGCATAAGCTCTCATATATATAAACAACAAAGTAATATAAGATACTAATAAGAGAAGGTAGTAGAAAAGATGAGAAGGATAATGCTTAGGAGTGCTTTTTGTCACTTTTCATGCCCTTTCCTATATTGCAACAATCCATCTGAATGCTTCGTGCTATATTAACCTATCTTTAGACTATTTTAATGTGGATCCGTCTTTGCATTTGTCTGAAAGTTGCAGTAGGTGCAATGTATGATCTTTTGTTTATTATTCAATGGTGTGACACCACACCCATTTTAGAATTATTCTAATTTAGGACTAGAGACATGCAAAGTAACATTCCAAATGAGCTTCATTTTTAAAATTGAGTTTTCCTGCAAGAATTGCAACAAATGTGGCATAACAGGTCTGCTTTTCAACTTTTATTTAGCGTTAGGATGCCAAATATACTTTGCTGATGAAGCAATGGCATAAACGGGCTTTCAAGAATGGAAGCACCACAGGATTAAACAGTTATAAACAATTTTAAAAATAGAATTGGCTGTATGGTGATGGCATGTTTCAGTTGGTTATTCCTAACTAGTATTTCTTAATTTCTTAAGTGGTCAGTGTAATGTATAAGTTAAAGAAAATTTGCAAGAAACCTGCATACAATCATAATTTAGGATATTTATAAATCATTCAGCCAAATCATAAAATTATATCACAGATCTTCCAACTTCAGATTGAGCTTCCCAAAGAATTAAACCACCTTCATTTTCTTAACACAAGCAAAATATGTTCTGTTATTGCCAAAATTTACTCTATACACTCATTGTCTTTATTCAGTCAAACTTTTTGATTAAAGTCAATGGAAGTAATAAGCAATAAGCATACTGATATTTTCCAAAATGAAAATTGCATTTATTTGGTAATAAAACTCTTAAGACTATCACCTCCAGTATGCTAAATTTTTTAAAGTGCTTCATACTCAATTTATATTATTTTTTATCAATTATTAAATGCACATTTCAGCATACAAAAAAATAATTCAGCAATTCAACAATGTATTTTATTTTTCCACATTTTATCTGTGAAGTCCGGTTCTATTTGTGTCCAAGGACCTTCTAATTCTTATTTTGGGAGTTCTTTTCATTTCAGGAGCCTTAGGAGTCCGGATTTTTGTCAATGCAATTGCTCTAAGTATACTCAGCTGTTGTTGAAAGCAAAATACCACCATATTACATTAGAAGGTCATTTTATATTTCAAGTGGCTTTATCATAGACAGTTTGCACACAGGACAACAAAAGCTTCAAGAAACCTCAAAGAAAGGCAACACAGACCACAATTATACTGAACATACTGAATTGTGATGGAAACAAGGGCAAAAGACCATAGAAAGAGATCAAACCATATTGTGGCTATCCATACAGCACATTAGATGGTTTTATACTCAGAAGATATATATGGAACAGTTAATAGACAGGACATCCTTCCAGGCTGACAACACCATTAATGTTTGACATTTTGTTCAGTAAGATAGATTTGTAATTAATTTTCATATTCTTTAAACAGCCATGGAACACATCCTGAATTGAAAGCCATGGTGTTTCCAAATTAACTGTAAAGACAAAGCACAAAAATTGATTAAATATACAATGTATGAACAACTGGATATTGTTGAAAATAACATTCTCTGAGAAATTTTAATATTTTTATCAATATACATTTGAATGAAATAGCCTGTTCTTATTTCCATTTAAAGCAAACTGATAGTGATGCATAGCAGTGCTTTTACCATTTTTTCAAATTTGCAATAATATGTATTAGAAATAGTCTGCTATAATATACATATAGGAGCCATTTCTTTGAGCTATTTAGGATAACTTTGTGAAGAATTAAGGAACAGTGATGATGATGATGATGATGATGATGATGATGATGATGATGATGATGATGATAACAGTGAAGTAGCTAGCTGATTTGCTTTCTCCCTCTCTATTAACACATATATTCACAATAGATAAGGTACAATAGTAAACGTTGTATAAAGAATGTGTGATACCAAATGTTTGAACATTTTTTTGCTAAATGGGTGAGAAATTCAGAATAGACCTCACTTTTTGTCATCTATTAGTCAGTTGTAAGGTGACATTCAGGAGCTTCTGGAAAGCCATAAACTCTTCATTTGTTCTTTACCATGCATAGCCACATTATTCATTCTAATAACTAAAATATACTACTTTAGTTGATCTGAATGGGGTTAATACATATTTATGCAGATAAGCAAATGGATGGGTTTCCTATGGGGAAGACAAGCATGATATGCATCTGGCTTCTTCTTTTTGCAAAGAGGACTCCATTAAGCTACATGTTGCACTCAAAGCTGATTTGTGAGTATTTTCCAAATCTTGGCATGCATAATTTCCAGTCTCCTCTGATAACTAATATAGGAAAAAGATCCTCAACAGCAAAATGGTGACTAAAATGAGTTCTACTACAGTATGAACAATTTGGGTGATAATATGGAAAGTCAGAATAAGGGAATAACAGAATACCAGAGTTGGAAGGGACCTTGGAGGTCTTCCTGTCCAACTCTGCTCAAGCAGGATATCCTATTCCATTCCGAACAAATGGCTGTCCAATCTCTTCTTGAAAACATCTAGTGATAGAGCACCCATAATTTCTGGAGGCAATATGTTCCACTGATCGTTATCACTGTCAGCAAATTTCACCTTATCAGGTTCTTCTAGTATTTATTCTCCCAAATAATTGTAAGTCTCATTCAAAAGTAATCAAATATCCTAAGATTTACAGTATAATTTTGAACTAGCACTTTAGGAAATTTATGGTACCTCTGTACATCGTTCTTTTCCCTATGAGTGCATACATGACAATAGTATCATAATTATATACAGTAGTTCTAATTAATATGTCTCATTTAAAAATGTTTGGGAGAGTGACAAGAAATCCTGATCAATATTTAGAATGTATGGTTAGAGGGACTGTAACCATTCTTTTGTTACATCTGTGCCCAAAATATATTGTTCCCTCTGACAAACATCACTACCAGTTGAATCAAATAAAGTAAAATAGAATCAATAAAATCTTCCTTCCTGATGTAAAATAGTTAGTTGAGAACAAAGCCATTTCTCAAAATGACAATAAATCCCCTGCTCTTGAATGATCTGATTATTTCTGACCTCCAACTCCTGCAGGTTTATTTAAAAAATGATAATAATATACATTCAGGCAATTAACAATGGAGTTTGTTTTGATCATCAGAGAGAGGAAAGTTCATAATGGATGACACAAAAATATAGCTGTTTTTAAATGAGGATTATTATAGTTACTTAATTCTCTTCCAAAACAAAGAAATCTCATACCTGGAATTCTTCCAAAATAGAGTGGTTGAGTATGACTGGTAGAAAGCTTAGGTGATAGTGCAGCAGTATAATTTCTATTTGTGTCTACATATAAGTTGATAATATTCTGCTTCTGAGCCACTATAAAAATCAGATCAATAAATCAGTTCCATATCCCCCACGAAACAATAGCTGACTAACAAATTAACTAACTAACTAACTAACTAACTAACTAACTAACTAACTAACTAACTAACTATAAATAAATAAATAAATAAATAAATAAATGTTTTTCATTCAATTCTGTTTGTCAATGTATCTGAAAATAATTTGCTTTATAATCTTCTAAGTCAATCCCTTCAGTGATGGGCAGATGCAGTAATCATGAAATATG